GTTCTCGATCAATTGGTTCTTCAAACAGTTATTCAAAAAGTTATGAAAAATTATGTTTGAATATTTATATTTTCATTGAAAAATCATCAAAATAGACGCCATGACACCTCCTCGAGTTGCTACTGATCCAGCCTTTCCCTAAGGGCGAGTGAGGGAGGAGAACGACCTTGGAGGTGACAATGGCTGGTCGGAGGAGCAAGGGTTATGGTTACCATAATTTACATTTATATTTTCAAATCACCCTTCCCTCTCACCCTGCATTTCAGTATAGGTTTATTTCCATATGAAATACTTAATTATCTATCTGCGTATCTATCTATCAAAAACTGATCGTTACGGTTTCTGTGAGTGCGTAGGCGGGTTGTTGATGAATGAACCGTCGGCTAAGCTTCTAAACCCATTAAGCTTATGACCGACTTTCGTCTTTTCGTTCCCAGTCACTGAATGAAAATTGATTCTGGTGTTTAATCGATCGACAAAATGAATAAATCAACAACACTTCTATACGTCACAGGATTTGTTGTTGTTGTTTACAAAATATGGCGGAAAAAGGTCCGGATTTTTCCTTAATATTGAACGAAAAACACCGTACGATGTTTGTTGTTGTTGTTTTTGTTTTTGTTGATCGGAAGGACTAATTTGCGGTAAAATGGTATCGTCATTTTTTTTTTTTTTTTTTTTTTTTTTTTTTTGCTTTATTTGTACCGCTGAATGAATCGTGTCGAAAAGCGCGCTGTGTATGAGAATAAGAAAGAGAATAGAAGAGAAAATGATGCAGATAGGCAAAGAGATATGTGGATAGATAGATAGATAGATAGATAGATAGATGAATAGAAAGCTGATTGATAGTGATTGATTGATTGATAAAGAGACAGATAGACAGATAGATGGCTATAGATATTCTTATAACATACAGACTTCATATATTGATACTAAGATATATCTCCCTATCTATCTATCTATCTATCTATCTATCTATCTATATTATCTATCTACCACAACCCAGACTCTTCAGCGTCGCGTTGCAACACAAGAAGGGAGCGACAGAGAAGGAACGAAGGAAAGATGATGATATGTTTTCTTCTATACACCGAGTGGCTCTGTGTGTGGACGGTTTCAGTGGAGAGCAGATAGAGAGACTTATAAGTAGGTAGATAGATCGACAGAGTAGTAGATCGATAGATAGATTGATTAACTGATTGATAGATAGATAGATCAATTGACTGAGTGATAGATAAATGGTAGGTTGTTACATAGATGATTGAATATATTCAGATAGATAGATTGGTAGATAGACTAATAGATAGGTAGGCAAGTGGAAAAAGCGACAGATAGATATCTTCCTTTATTCACAGATACACATACACACTGAATCGCGCACAACACACACACACATACATACGCACGCACGCACGCAGACATACAAAAACACACGCAAACACACAAAAAACACACGCAAAAAAAACACAAAAAAAAAAACACACAAAAATGCACGCACACACATAAAACACACAAAAAACACACACACAAAAACACATACACAAAAACACGCACACAAACACAAAAAAAAATCACGGAGAGAAAGAAAATTCTGACAAAAATAAACCTAACGCACGAGAGGCTCTGACCCAATCACTCGCCATAAACGACACGATTTTAAGACACTGCATTATGAGGAAGTATCTCCTTGTTAGACTGCGGGTGAGCTGTGTGAGAGCTCTTTGGGGAAGCATTTGTGAGCTCTCCTCAGCGCCTGGTCTCTCCTCACTCTTGCCCATTACCTCACAACAGAGAGACGAGTATGAAGTATGAAGTTATGTGTATAAGGAAGATGAGGATAATTTAGAAGGAACAGAGAGAATGATAATTTTGTTTCTTGTATACATTAAGTGGTTCTATGTACGTCTGAACAATCATCATAAACAATCATCATGTTCTCTTATCAATTCTACTGTAATCACTTCATAGTTATGTTAATTATTTCTATCTATGCTTGCTATATCTTAACTCGGCCAGAATGATATTACCAATCAGGTATTCATGTGCTAGCTCTTCTGTTGTAGTTTTGTTATGTTAAGAGGTATTATTATTATCAAGGGAGAGCAGAGGTTGTTTCTCTTCTCTGATAGATTGATAATAGATAGTGAGATGTCAGATGTTGAGCTTTCGTCTCGATCGGTTTCAGGATATCCGTGGGTGTAGAATATTGGTGTATGGGTTTCCCGTGGTGTATGTTTGGTTTCAGGAATATTCCCGTGGTGTATGTTGTGGGGTGTGTTGTGTGTGATTTTCGTTTTTTTCGCCGTGAATGGTGTGTAAAATATTAGTTAATTATAAAGTGGCTTAATATTCCTGACCTTGCATACGTTATAGTATTGCAATACTATAAAAAAAAGCTAAAGGAAAAAATGATAATAGAAACGTATACATAATAGAGACGATTATGATGTGTAGAAAAATACGAGCTGAAATTCCTGAAGTGAGGATTAGTTAGCAAACGTAACAAGGCTAGAACAGAAGAACTAGCACAGGAATAAATGATTGGTAATATTATTCTGACCTTTAAGATATAACAATCATAGATAGAAATAATTAAAAATCATTAAGAAGTGATTACAGCAAAAATAATAAAAGAACATACGCAGAGAAATAATTAAAAAATCATTAAGAAGTGATTACAGCAGAATCAATAAAAGAACATACGCATAGAAATAATTAAAAATAATTAAGAAGTGATTACAAAGAATTAATTAAAGAACATACGCTCTTCCGTGTGCAATGTGGACTTGAAATTAAAAAGAAACAACAGGATGTTTATGAAATGCATCACGCTTGACACTAAATCATATTAACTTAGAGCTTGGTTCTGTCAGGCGCCCGGTTCTGCAACAACCGGTGTCACTGTCGATGAGTGAAAGCTACGTAGCAATATGTACTGTATATTGATCGATGGATAGATAGATCAATAAAGAGATATTAGATAGATAGATAAAGAGATATTAGATAATAGTAGATAAGAGATATTAGATATATAGATAGATAAAGAGATACTAGATAGATAGATAGATAAAGAGATATTAGATAGGTAGATAGATAGATAAAGAGATATTAGATAGATGGATAGAATAGATATATTAGAGATAGATATTAGATAGATATATAGATAGATAATAAAGAGATACTAGATAGATAGCTAGATTGACAGAAAGTTATAGACAGACAAATAGACAAACAGATAAACAAACCCATACATGCAAGCCACCAAACAAACACACTCTTTCTACCCTCCGCAACCAACACACGAATATGACTAAGTAACAAACAGATAGATAAACAGAACAGATAGACTGACAGAGAGTTAGAAAGAAAGAGATAAACAGATAGACAAAAAATATAAACAAACCCAAGTAAACAAACAAACAAAAAACAAACACACTCTATCCTCCCCCAACCAGCGCTCTAATATATCTAAATAAAAAAAATATCTTATGCGAAGTGTAAATCCTTAGAGATGTTGATTTATCACTTGATTGCTTGAAAGCGCGTGCGGAAAGTGGCGAAGTATGCCCTGGAGGAGTCCATTAAGATGCCAAATGATGCTAAATGGAAGATGGTGAAAAAATCGATAAATAAAAAATATATAAATGCCTTTTTATCTCTTCGTATGATGCATTTACTTCTTTATTGACTCAGAAAAAAATAAATAAAGAAAATAGAAATGCCTTTTTCTCTCTTCGTATGTTGTATTTACTTCTTTATTGACTCAGAAAAATGTATGGGTATTAAAAAATGATAATAAAGAAAGATGAAAAAGAAATTAAAAAAAAAAAGATTGACTCATAAAATGTATGGGTATTAAAAAAAATAAAATGAATAAATAAAAATGATTGCCATTTTGTTTCTTTCCTTGACAAATTACTTCTTTATTGACACGGAAAAAACAAAAAGCAAAGAGAAAAAAGAGAAAAATAGACGAAAAAAGGTGCGAGGATAGACTGAGACAAGGCAATATTGCAACAGGGGGGGGGAGGCAATTGCACATTCGGGAGATGAGAGACTTTTGGCATTGCAGTTGGTACGTCAGCCAGGCTTCAGAATGATAATAAATATGATAATAATAAAAATGATGATAATTATCATAATAATGGTAATGATTATTATGGTATTAATGATGATAATGATAAATAATGATTATAATAATAATGATAATAATAATGTTAATAATGATAATAGTGATAGTAATAATATCAATGCTATTGATAATAAAATATTGATAGTAATGGTAATGATAATGATGGTAATAATGATAATGGTATTACGGATAATACTAGTAATAACAATAATAACAATAATTATAATAATCATCATTATTATAATTATAATGATGATATACAACACACACACATATATTTATATATATATATATATATATATATTATATATATATTATATATATATATATATATGAATAATTATTATTATGATTATAAGATAATACTGACAACTATCCTCATGAATATTATTACTGTAATTATCATTACTGTTATTGTTATTAGCATTATTATTAACATTATTGTAGTAATTATAAAAGTTATTATCATTATCATTGACATTACTTTATTAATATGATTATTATCATAATCATTATCATAATCATTATTATCATTACTATTTCCAAAATTAAATGCTATTTTTTGGTCATCTATCCTTATCTTCGTCACTGTAATTGTTAATAACAGTTCTCTTTTTTTCTTTTCATTTTGCATGTGTTTCTACTTCCAAAAGTTCCAATCAAGAACAAAAAAATATCATTTTCTTGCTCTTGATTATGCCTTATTCTCTATTCTTTGTTTGGTATGTGATGTGATTTTTTCGTGTGATGTTCAGGTTTGAAGAAAAAAACAATACGATAAGTTACTCCTTTAATTTCTTCCGAACAGCCACGGCTGTTTTCTTAATCATTTTCGTCGCCTTCCGTCCGACGGCTTTGGCAGCTTTCTTCAGCGTAAATTTTTGTGTATTTGGTTTCCCTTTGCTGGGCAGTTGGCTGGCAGATTTCCTGACACTTGTCTTGTTATCGGCTTTTGCTTTCGTTACTGATTTCTTAACAGCTGACATGTTAGATTTCTTAACACTGATCTCGGTAGAGGTCTTTGCTTTAACAAAAGATTTCTTGACAGTCATATTGTTAGATTTCTTAACACTTGTCCTGCTAAGGGTCTTTACTCTTGTAAACGATTGCTTAACACTTACCCTGTTAGCGGATTTTGCTTTTGTCACGGCTTCCCGGGCGATGAAATCCCTCATTCTTGACCTCTCCTCCATGTCCGCCTTGGAGAGGTGCCTTTGGCCGGTCTGCCTCCCGCCCGCTGGGTTCTCGGCGCCAGCCACCTTCACGAACGTCTTCTTGCAGACATAACCGTGCGCTTTGGTCTTCCTCGGACCTCGACTCTCGGCTTTCCGCGCGTCGGCCAGTTTGAACGAACCGGAGGCCCCGCTTCCTCGGATCTGCGTCAGGCACCCGCTGTCGACGCCCCTCTTCAGCGCTATCTTGATGTGGGTGTACGTTTTCTTCTCGTCCTTCACGCTGTAGGTGGTGAGGATGTACTTCTGGATCGCCTGGCGGGACGACCCCAGGCGCTCTCTCAGGACCCCTATGGCTGCGCGGACCATGGCGCTGTACTTCGGGTGGGAGGGCCTCTTAGCTCTCGTCTCCTGGGCTCGGATCCCGCCCATGGCTGCGAGAGAGAGAAAAGGCTGGAGAAAAGGGAGGAGGAGAAGTGACGGAGAGCGGCGTCCTACAGAACAGTCCCGGCGGGTTCCTGGTGGGGGTATGGTGGCGATTATCCTCTGCGGGAGAAGGACTTTCTGTCGGGAGCGAGGCGAGGTTCTCCGCGTCTCTCCTTCAGAAGGGCGGCGGGTGCTCGGGCTTAGGGACTGGGCGGTCGTCTTTGGTTGACTGAAGCTGTACACGTGTAGATTCATGTTGTATGTATATTAATTTATGTATGCATTTATACATAACGACGATAATGAAAACTATAATTATGATGATAATTGTAATGACGATAACAATAGAAGTAATTATGGCAGTAATAGCATCACTAATAATAACAATAATGATAATGATATACGATAATAATTATACAAATGATAATAATTATACCATTATACAATGATAGTAATTATACAAATGATAATAATTATACAAATGATAATAATATACAAATGATAATTATACAATGATAAATGATTATACAAATGATAATAATTATACAAATGATAATTATACAAATGATAGTAATTATACAAATGATAATAATTATACAAATGATAATAATTATACAAATGATAATAATTATACAAATGATAATAATTAATAATATGATAATAATTATACAAATGATAATAATTATAAAATGATAATAATATACAAATGATAATGATCAAATGATAATAATTATTGATAATGATTATACAAATGATAATAATTATACAAATGATAATAATTATACAAATGATAATTATACAAATGATAATAATTATACAAATGATAATAATTATACAAATGATAAATAATGATAATTATACAAATGATAATAATTATAATGATAATAATTATACAAATGAATATATAATTATACAAATGATAATTATACAAATGATAATAATTTATACAAATGATAATAATTATACAATGATAATAATTATACAAATGATAATAATTATACAAATGATAATAATTATACAAATGATAATGATTATACAAATGATAATAATTATACAAATGATAATTATACAAATGATAAATAAGTATACAAATAATAATAAGTATACAAATGATAATAATATGATAATAAGTATTACAATAAGTATACAAAGGATAATAAGTATACAAAGGATAATAATAATACAAAGATAATAAGTATACAAAAATAATAGTATACAAGGATAATAAATATACATATAATAAGTATACAAAGGATAAGATATATAGTATACAAAGGATAATAAGTATATAATAAAGTATAAAAAGGATAATAAGTATACAAAGGATATAAGCAAAAGGATAATAAGTATACAAAGGATAATAAGTATACAAAGGATAATAAGTATACAAAGGATAATAAGTATACAAAGGATGATAAGTATACAAATGATAATAAGTATACAAATGGTAATAATTATACAAATGATGATAATACTAGCAATAGATATTCTAGTCTGGTTAAAAATATTGAGTATTTGATCTCTCTCTCTCTCTCTCTCTCTTCTCATCTCTTCTCTCGTCTCTCTCTCTCTGTCTCTCTCCTCTCTCTCTCTGTCTCTCATCTCTCTCTCTCTCTGTCTCTCTCTCTCTCTCTCTCTCTCTCTCTCTCTCTCTCTCTCTCTCTCTCTCTCTCTCTTCTCTCTCTCTCTCTCTCTCTTCTCTCTCTCTCTTCTCTCTCTCTCTCTCTCTCTCTCTCTCTCCAGTCTTCTCTCTCTCTCTCTCTCTCTCTCTCTCTTCCTCCCTTTCCTCTTCCTCTCCCCCTCCCTCTTCCTCTCGCCTCCTTTCCTTCTCTCCTTCTCCTTCACTCTCCTTTCTCCTTTCCCTCTCCTTTCACTCTCTCCTTTCCCTTTCCCCTCCCTTCCTCTTCTCTGTCACCCCCCTCCCCATTTCTCTCTTCTCCCTTTCCCTCTCCTTCTCCCTTCACTCCTTCCCTCTCTCTTCACCTCTCCCTTCTCCCTTCTCCTCCCTCTCCTTCGATTCCCTCTCTCTTCTCCTTTCCCCTCCTTCTCCTTCACCTCCCTTCCCTCTCCTTCACGTCTCCCTTCTCTTCACCCCTCCCCCCCTCCCTCTCTCCCAGAAAAGAAATATAAGACCAAGGAAGGTTATATGTGGACCCATATATCTACCTCCTTCAATACACGTTCTTTTATGAATGGAAAAGCACTCTACCGTGTCGATACTGTGTGTAGAACAACATACAATATACAACTGTTTTTTTTTATTTAATTACTTTCTGTTCTCGATTTGTAGAGGTGAGACTGGTGTTAAGTCCTTTGTGTCTTTGTGGATAATAATGTGTGTAGAAAAAATGTGGATAATGATGTGTGTACAAAAAAAAATGTGGATAATAATGGTGTGTAGAAAATATAGAGAGTTTTTTTTTCTGTTTTTCAAGGTTGGAGATATGTAACTCTATGCATGACTTGGAGAAAATGATTTCTGTCTGTCACGGTTTCACTGAGTCCCGACCTTCATTTGCATAATCTGTAGGTCTCACTTTAAGAGCACGACCAGAGTAAACCCAGCGTAGCACTGTAATGCCCCTTCGCGAATTGAGAGAGAGAGA